TACGAACGTTAGTTAACATTCGTCAATAAATTAATTAAAAAAAAATAATTTCAAAGGTTTTACTTTCAAATGAGTCTGGAACATACTTTCGGCGTTCTGAACCTAAAAAAAATAAAATAACGAAATGTTAGTAAAATGTTCGTTAAAGAAAATCAAAAATAAAAAACTTCAAAGTGCTATTACCTTCGAAGTTCTTCTAAGTTCTCCAAATGGAAGTTCAGAACCTAAAAATAATAAAAAATGAACGTTAGTATAATGCTCGTTAAAGAAAAATAAAACAAAAAGAAACTTTGAAGTGTTATACCTTTGAAGTTCTTTCAAATGGAGCCAGAATCTAAAAAATAAAAGAAAAATGAATGTTAATAGAATATTTGTTAAAGAAAAATAAAAAAAAAGAATTTTGAAGTGTTATTATCTTTGAAGTTCTTTCAAATGGAGCTGAAACCTAAAAAATAAAAGAATACGAACGTTAGTAGAATGTTCGTTAAAGAAAAAAATCACAAAAAAATATATATAAAGAATTTGAAGGTTTACCTTCAAATTCTTTCATCCAGTAGCCAGAGAACCAAAACCTTACAAAAAAAATACCTGAAACATTAGTAAACATTTCGTAAATTAAAAGTAACAAAAAAAAATAAGAATTTTGAAGGTTTACCTTCGAAATCCTTCTAAATGTGAACAGGAACCTAAAAAAATAAATGAAAGCTGAACATTAATAAAAAAAAAATACAAAAAAAACACGTTTCAAAAATATACTTTCCATTCTATCAATCCAAAGCGCAAAGTTAATGCCAACACCTACAAAAGAAAGAAAAAAAAATTAAATAAAATTTTTTAAATAAAAAAGTTTCAAAGCCTTCCGCTTCAAAACTTGCCAATCCAAAAACCCAGGAATCGAAAGCTGATACCTACAAAAGAAAGAATAAAAATTGTTAAAATTTTTTGACGATTTTTTTATAAAAAAAGTTTTGAAACTTAATGCATAAAACCTTCGATCCAAGAACTGATGCTAATACCTACAAAAGAAAGAAAGAAAGAAAAATTTAATAAAATTTCTCAAGAAAAAATATTTTAAAAAAAAGTTTCGAAGCAAATGCTTCGAAACTTACCAATCTAAAGCTTGGGACCGATACTGATACCTATAAAAGAATAAAGAAAATTAAATAAAATTACATTTAAAAAAAGTTTCGAAACTTCACTTTAAAACTTACCGATTAAAAGTCTAAAGATCTGCCGATACTTACAAAGAAAGAAAAAAAAAAATAATATAATTTCTTAAAAAAAAAAAAAATTAAAAAAAGTAGTTTCAAAACTCTCACTTCGAAACTTACTTATCAAGAATTAAGAACCGAAGCCGATGCCTACCTACAAAAAGATGAAAAAAAAATTTAGTTGAAGTTTTTTTAATTTTTTAAAGAAAGTTTCAAAGCGAAAAAAAGCTTCGAAACTTACCAATTCAAACCTGAGGACTGATGTTGACACCTACAAAAATGAACATTTAGTAACGTTTCGTTAAAAGTAAAGATACAAAAAATATAAAAAAAAATTCGAAGGGTTTTACCTTCGAATTTTAGTCTAGAGCCGTTTTTCGGTATCTGAGATATAAAAATAATAAAAAATGAACGTTAGCGATGTTCGTTAAACAAAAATATAATAAAAAAATTTCAAAGGTAAAGATTTTACCTTTGAAATAAGAGTCTGGAGCTGTTCTTCGGCATCCAGGACCTAAAAGTTTGATAAAACGAACGTTAGTGACGTTCGTTAAATAAAAAATAAAAAATTATTATTTTTTTTTTAAAATAAATTAAAAAAAAAAATTATTATTATTTTTAAAAAAAAAAATAAATTAAGATTCAGAGGTAAGCATACCTCCGAATTCCAACTAAAATCATCGATAGATTCTATCTAGAAC